AGATCCACAAGCACCAATGTATTCATGTTCTCAGTCTTTACATTAAAAAAAATCGTATTCACGAATCAAACAAGATATATATATATATGAACTAACTCTACACTAAACCTAGTGATCCAAGGGTAATGAAAATAATTATCAAAAAAACATATTAATCATATCTAACAATCACTAACCTTTCTGTGAAATAGGTTTATTGTTCATTGGTGTACAAAATATTATTTCAATATATATATATATAGATATATATATTTGGTATAATTCATGTAAGATTTTATCGTTCATATGACTTGGACACATAATACATTTCCATTACATAAATTCAAGTAAAATAGTAAATTTATACTCTCTTTTTTTTTCCTCATAGTATATATATACTTGGCTAATGAGAAGAGTTTATTATCTCTTCTACTCTACTAATATATATATAAACATATATACTTTTAAGTTGTTGATCAAACAAAAAATGGTACTATAATTTTTGAAAAATTATATATATATATATATATATAATTTGTGTATAAAAATTTAGCCAAATATTATTGTTTACGGAGTAAAATTCAAAATCATTAATCATTATAAATTATTTGTCAAAAAGATTTAATACTTGTTAATTGGAAGAGTTAAGAGTAGGTAGTAATTACTTACTATTTTGGTCAATGATGGAGAGGAAACACAAACAAGACACAAACATTACTAGTAGATCAAAGGAGGAAAGGGACCTGACGCTTGGATGTCTCCGTTACAAGGTCCCACATTCGCTGGAATCTGGCGTCAGATCGGACACGTATACGGACGTTAACGTGGTCTGACTGTTCCACCACATGATGACCCGTGTGTGTTGAAATCTTGCTCCAGTCTCTGCTCTCCGGATCCTTTGCCCTTCTTTCTCTCCATATATACACCACACACATATATATAACATGCTTTGCCCGGATACCGTGGATACGTGATCTGGATAGATATTACTCTAGCTTTGTATTTGGGTGGGAAGTTGAAGTGTGTTTAAATAGTTGGGTATGTAATATTATTTAATAATTTAAATTTTTGAATAAATAAGTAAGCGCTCATTTGTTACAATTAATATTAAAATTAGGCCTAATTCTTAATCCGATATCATGCCAAACGGCTCAGCCCGATAATATATATACACTATTAGTATTATATGTATATCATATTATCATTGAAAATCTTCAGGTGCTATCAACTAATTATATTTTATAATATAAAAAAATATATGTATTTAATAATTATCATTATTAATAATGAGTAATTAATTAGTTACTGATACCATGTTAACACTAAAATGTTTCCCCCACTTCGAAGAAGTATCGTACATAATCAATAATGATGGCACCATCAAGTAAAATCTATTGTAGTGGATATTCGAATTGACAGGAGTGTTATGTCATTAGTGTACTCACCCAATAATAATATCTTATTTTAAAAAAAGTTGACTTATTTATTCATAAAATTACTGATAATAACAAGATAATATGTTATATTTTAACGAATTGATACACTTTTGACGTAACCCATGTGTAACACTAAATATCTACTCATACTCCATGGAATGGAACTCAGGTGGTGCCCATCATTGATTAGGCATCAAACCTCTCTGGTTTAAGAGAAAATTTTAATTTCCATACTACATGGCATTACGCGGTGCACTAAAGATGACCAGCACCAATCCAAGTAATTGGTGGTAGAGGTGCATAAAAAATCGATGGAAGCTATATGTTAGACTGGATCAAACCATGTCGATTGGTTTGGTTTAATTTGATTTTTTTTTTTTTTTTTTTTTAGCAGTTTGATCCGTTTTCTATTCTAATGTGTTATCGTCCTCTTTCTATTCTAATGTGTTATTGGAATTAAATTTTGAATTTGTTTTTTTTTTTTCCACTTATTATGAAACAAATTGAGTATTATATATGTATATGTTTACATATAAGTCCTACTATTCATACCGACTAACGTGGACTCCACACACTCTTGTGCGTATCACCCCTAGTGTGAAAAGTACCTTTTTTTTTTTTTTTTTTTGGCCATATAATATCCGTGTGAGAGTAATGGTCCTGAGTTGTTTTGTCATTTGACTCAACCCAACAGAAGAAGGTTACGGAAAATGTTTGGGGGTGAGAAAACACCACATGGTAATTTGGTAAATGCCATCACCAATTAACCAAATGTACGAAAACCCATTTTCACCCAAAACAATATCTTATGTTTGCCTCCCAAATATCTATTCCTTTTCTACTTTTACCCATCAAATCCTACCCATTTTACATTCAATTTGCTTTTTAAAAAATCAATAGGATAATCATAATTATTATTGATTTTTTATTATTATTTTTTCACATTTTTTGGCCGACATAATCTTTTGGCTCCAATTACATTTCTTTTAAAATGATTGTTTTAATTACCACCTCTCAAGTTTCAAGCAATTTTTTTTTTTTTTTTTTTTTTGATATATATATATATATATATATCCATAAAATTTTACTATTGCCATGCTAAAATTAATTCCACTATTACCCTCAGGGACAGATCTATGTACAAGTCAGTGGGCGCAATTGCCCTCACTGAATTTTTTTTACTTTTAGTAATATACCCTATTATTTTATTTATTTTGATATATATATTTATAAAATTACACAACCGTCCCTATTAAAAGTACTAAAAAATTATACCGTAGCTCCCTCTCACACAATTTCCTGACTCTGTACCTGATTACCCCCTGCCATAATTTTGTGTATCTACCTCTTACTCGATTATTTAACTGAAAAATTGAAAAATGAGAACCTACTATTAAGCTACAACCTTTGGTTATAGCCGCACTCAAATTCGTACCCATACCTACATGCTTATCGGTACCAACCTCTGGCATGACTTCAATGGACCCAAAGAAAAAAAAAGTGAAAAATTTAGTAACAATTACAATGATGATGTTGACCACAAAGACTCAATGAGATACACGTGAAATGAATTGGGGAAAAGGAGATGCATACATGAAATGTTGTGTGTGTGAGTGAGTGTGTGTCATGGGGCCATGGGCATTACAATTCTAATTAGCAAATGGGATACAATAAGAACCATTCTGCGGACGCGACACATGCACCAACACGTCGCTCTCATTTTGCTTGCTTAAACGTAATCCGCAGTAGTTTCTATGTAAAACTTCAAACCACGCATTCGGCAGCCGACAATGACATCCAACTGTAACTACCAAAAATCACAAACACTCTCTCTCTATATATATATACATATACATAGACACATATACAAAGCATTGCTCACTCTGAAGTCTCATGGTCACAAAAAAAAAAGGCACAAAATGTTCAAATTTTGCTATGTAAGGCAAAATACAGAGGTCGACAAGGCGATCGCTATCGGACCCCAATGAGCTTGGCTCACCTGTATTCTGAGTGTAAAACTAAAAGCCACAACCTAATGTTGGTCCATCCATGCTGCCATGCATGATTATACTAAATAGGCAAGACTTGCAGCAACCAATGGCCCTCGTGGGACATCGAGCAAGCTGTTCGAATGCGACTACGAGGAAATGCAACCATGAGATTGAGGTTCGAATGCGACTAGGAGGAAATCCAACCACGACCGAAATGTTCCGATGTTGATAGACTCTGAAGGAGACAGAGGTTGATGAGAATGGCTATCGTAGGGTAATCCATCAATGTATAACAGAACAAAGTTTTTTGGCACCCAAATTATTAGCCATACGTTTTTAGACATTTTCAAAGCCAATTTTCACAATTGGTGCACAATTTAAGGGCTATTTTAAATTCTATGATATAACACAATTTTTGAAAAATTACTGAAAACTAAAACACTAGTAACTGAACACAAGTAAAATTACAATATAGCAAGTATTACTACATACAATTAAAATTTTGACCGTGTACAGCCATCAGTTTTATCTGCAAATCATTGTTATCTCAAGCCCAGTTTCATCTACACATCATTGTCTTGTATCTAAAGCCTAGTTAGTAATTTCCATAAGCATTTTATTTCTTTAATGCTCCAATTTAAAGGAAGTTAAAAAAAAATGAATGAAACATTCTAGAGAAAGAGATTGTAGATTTCCGTCTTTTTGTTTGGTTGAATGGAAGAGAAAAGAATGAGGTAATACCTTACTTTGTTACAAGACAAGAGAATTGAGGATATTAATTTATAAGAAAAGTTTTGTAATTTAAATTTTTTTATGAAAGCATTGTCTCATTGTCTATATTTGGAGGAATAAAAATTTGTGAAGGAATGAGAAGGACTTATCCTCTACCAAATCAAGAAAATTTATTTCTTCCCTCCTACCAAACAGAGCATAAATGTAGAAAACAAGCTGTTTGGCTCGATAGAAATTCCAACTACTCACTTATAAAACATCCCGCCCTATCTCATTGTTACCCACTCCTAAAAACACGTCACCCTAGTTGCTTGTTATAAATGTGAATCAACATCCTCCTCCCTAGTCGAAGGGTTAGAATGCATTACAATCAATGCTCCCTATTCTTCTACAATTTCTAGAATCCTCATTTCTCTACAACACTCCATACATCCTTATTATTTATACTCTTTTATATTATTAAAATGAAAATATACAAGGCATTAGAGAAGTCAAATAATGTATGTGGGGATAACTATATATATTCTACGTTTATAACTACTTATATTCCCACCATGTTATACTATGACCTTGAGATGCCTATTTGAGAACCTTCTGAGAGTGAAAAAAAGAAGCAGCAGTATATTCATAACCATTACCAAATAGTTGCTCTCATCACCCATTCTTTAATGCATTTCTTCAAACAGCATGTCTTCATAAATTTTCATCATTTTACATGATCTTCTGTTGTCATTTCTTCCCAAATATACATGTTTGGTAAGGGCAGACAGGAAGGAAAGGAATTATTTAACCACTGCAGAATACTTCCTCCAGTCAACTTACTTGACGTATTTCTCATATAACAATTAGACGCAGAGGAGGCTAAAGAGGAAAGAGAATTCAAATTATTTAAACTCCTATAAAGGAAGGAAGGGCACTTATAACATAATCCACCACAAGTGAAATCAAACTAAAAACATTTAAAAATACAAAAAAGATAAAACAGAGTTACACTAGCACAGAGCTAATGACTGGAACTAAACATCATATCCACCTTACAGATTTGAGCAATGGCTGGATAAACAAAGGGTGTTCAAAAAGGCTTGTCATATTCCTGCGATGGCTGCTCCCATACCCGCAAAAAGCCTACAACAGAGAATCAAAAAGCATTTAGCCTAGAGAAAAAGAAGATGGACAAAGACTTCAACAAAATTTTAATCACCAACTGAACAAACTCATTTATTGGTTTACATCAAGCAACTACACCTAAGTGGACAGTATAGAGAAAGGTCAAAATTACTTGATAGTTATGCTTGCATAATCTAACAATTGGAAAGATGCACAACCCTAAACTACATTACAAATGCAATATCAATTCGCCATAAAAAAATTAGCTTGTGCCAAGTGACCTCAACCTCAACCTCCATACATCATAATCAATCGCATAGTATTTATGGTAACTAATGTTCCCCTTGAAGATATTTTATGGTTTCTCTACCCAGAGTTTAAATCTCCTTCCGTTTATTAAATGGTTACTTTTTACTCTTTTCAAATCACAAAACAACAAATCATTTGCTGCTAACAATCATAATTCACAATATCTTACCATACATCATTAGATACAGGTGTTATATATTAAGGAGGTAAATCAATAAGCATCTCTTACATGTCCGATATCAACAATATCTTACGATAAAAAAATGCACACTTTGATTGTTTTTGGCCTTCCAAAAAAATCATTTAAGGTACATTAAGATTAAAAAGAGCATTTAATTTTTGCTTTCTTTTGCAGATTCAACAAAGCAACATATTTTTCTATATTAGTGGGAGCCAGTTATAATACTTTGTGTTTTTCTGAAGGAACATGCGAATTTGTCATTATTGGGGAAAATTGAAGAACTTATAATTTAATAACTTAAAATCTAAATGATATATCGGCAGAACTTTAAATCCATACTTCTTCTCCCCCCACCAATCCCCACTCCCCCTCTCATTCATTTTTCAAGATAATCACCGGAAACATCAAAGTTTAAACTTCAAACAGAATACTGTCTGCTTCTTATTCAACAGAATGGAATGTCATATTCCAAAAATATAATTTATCCAATACCCTAACCTTCACTGTTTGATATCAATACATTAATGGTTGAGTTTGATGCTTTGTTTGTCATGTTCGTTAGCATTCGTTGGTTACTATTTTGTAATCTTACAATTTATAGTCAGAATTAAAATGTATCTCACAATATACAAGAAACTAAGACACAAGATATGAAAAATATAGAAATCAATCATAATAAATAACATTTTTTGTCAGTTTATCAGTAAAAGGGAAAAATATGAAAATAAGAATCTTAAATGTCTTCTTGAATATGATTCGATGTTGAAAAGCAGATTGGAAAGGGCATGCAGTACAAAACTTAATCTAAGTGTGGTATGGTGAGAATATATTCCAATAGATCTTTCTATTAGAAGTTAAAATCTGATAAACCAGTCTTGAATATATTATGTAAGGCTAGTTTTGTTCCTTATAAAGAGAAAAGGATTGATCGATCCTTATCTCATAATTTTAGATAATTTAATCATTTGAGGGAAAAAGTATAATATCTCATACTTCTCAGCTAGGAAGCACATACACTCCACTTAGGGGTGCCGTGACAGTGTCGGACACGGCACAGACACGTGTTGGCCACGGCTAGAAGTGTCCTAAAATTCGAATATTTTATTTTCTGGTTGGATACGACTGAGACACGGCATGGACACGACAAGGACACGTTTTGGAAACTTCCAGGACACGAGGCTTACCATGTTCCATCAATAGCACCTAACCTATGCCGATTTTGGCGGAACGTGCTCCACCCCGGTGAACTAATGCAGAAATGTAATGCAATCTAAAATATAAAATGAACTAATTCGAAAAATAATATAAAATTTAAAATAACAAACATTTAATTCTAAACTCCAAAGTAGTACTTTTATTCACAATTATGTGGATAAAATAAATAAATATGATTGTTTTTCTATATATAATAAATTATTATATTATTATTTTCTGATGTATGCATGACGTATCTGTGTCCTATGATTTGTTGTATCGCTGTATCCGTTTCGTGTCGTACCTGTGTCCCATGTCCGTATCCGTGCTTACAAGCTTCTTAGTCTCCTGATGTTAGGTGGACAGTGTCCATTCAAATGATTTTCCCCAAAGTTGTATATATTCTACTAGGCTAGTAGGCTTGAATTAATTCTTTTTGTAATTGCTCCAGAAAAGGAAGATAAGAGAAGAAATAAGAAAACTTTTTCTCAATAGTACGCAATAATGGAAGTGATGTTCTTGTTTTCTTAGTTTTGAAGTTTTAGAACCCCACAACTAGTCCAGATAACCTCTTAATTCATATTTCACAACCCCAACACTTTGCTTACTTTGATTACTCAACCTAGCACCAAAAATAAACCCAACAAATACCTAATCATCATTAATTAGTTACCATTCAAAGTGCTGGAGAAAGCCCCAAAAACCTTTCTCATTTATATTCCCAAAACTCTAGTCAACAAAGCCCTAATCAATCCTAACCCTTCCCTATACCTTTTGGCCTTCAATCTAGCACCTAAAACAACAAAACAATTCTGAATTTCTAACAACCAAACGCCCTTAAAAATAGCCAATTCCAGCCCCTTAAGATATATATGTGCATTATCAGAATCTTCCATTTCCACATAGCATCAAATGAGTCACTGCCACAAAGTCCAAATCCTCTCTCAAATCAAATAACATGCAATGAGTAAAAGGAAGATCACATGTTACCAATGTTTCAATTAGTAAGATTGCCTGTTAGTTGTTGATGATGTGAACCACCAAAGAATTTAAAGAGAAACAATGAGGAGATTTAGTCACGAAAGAGAATGAAGGAGTGGTGCAAGGGCTGGAGAAGAGAAGTAACGGCGAAGCTGATTGGAGTAGACATTCGGAAAGTATTGACTACCGGCACTGGCAGAGCTGATCAGAAAAGCGTGGGGTAGGTGGCAGCTGAGAAATCGCTAGAAATTGGAAAAACCCTAGGAAGTGAGATTATATTTATGTCAGAGTTTTAGACATTCAATCCAGGCAAAGAAATCCTAAAAGGGAAAAAAAATAATAATAAAAAAATAAAAAATAACTATCACCAACTCATAAAAAGGAACAAATATAATGCATTCTTATATTATATACATATATCTATGACATATGTATATATATACACAATTTTCATCAAAGAAGCATACTTATAATCTTTAAGGTATATATATAAATATAAACACATGTACTTGTTAGATTTTATGTTTTCTTTGAATCCGCTACGAGGAGCTCTCTATTATGCCTATTGATCCAGTAACGTTATTATTATTATTGTTTTTTTTTTTTCCTTCTTGTCCAAACTCCGAATTGCATTATATAAAAGGAAAAACATTATGTGATTGATTCGGCTATTGTGGATTTTCTCACATATGAGGTGAGGGCCCCACCACAAATGATATATCCTGCACCCGTTATGTGGGAGAGTCAGTTGATCCACTCCATTTGAATAGATGACTCGGACAATGAAATGTCATCTTTTACTTTAAATATTTTAGATATCCAATCCAACCAATGAAGACCTAAAAGGAAAAAATTGAAAGAAACCTATCACCACAATTCATAAAAGGAACAAAAGATAATGCATACTTATCTTTTTTATAAATATAGATATATATGTAAAAATACACACTTCTCATCAAATGAAACATTACTTATAATCTTTCTGATATATAAATAAATATAAACAAATGTGTATAAACATCATAACCAGGATCTTCTAAGGTCTAGTGTGGACCAATACATTAAAATTGACAATGCAACATCCCCACAACAGCTTTAAATTGACAACGGAACAACTACAGAAATGTTTACAGATAAGTATGCATACCCGCCCCTAACCCGTTCAAAGAATTACCATACCCTTCTCATTAGGGGGGGAGGGCAAATTGCCACCCATACTCGGGGCTAATAGGAGCGTCCATGAACATCCTAAATCATTAAGTGAACCACATTTCAGATCATTTGAGTTGGAGGACCAACCAATTAGGTAATGATGTTCAATGATAAAATTGTATGTGGTTATCTTATTTACCTTTCCAGTTCTTTCCCATGATTTAACATACTAACATTGTTCAAATCAATCAATTACAACAAATCAAGTCTTCTCCAAGAATTCATTTCAGATAAATCAAGTTTGAATAATGTTTATCTATATCAATTCATTACTGTTAGTGAACCCTGATTATAGCTTGAATTTATAAGGAAAACCATAAACCAACTGGTTCAAATTAGACTTGTAAAAAATAAAACGCAACTGTACTACAAACATAATGACAATAGAGGAGGCCATAATTTTATTTCTGAGTAATTTCCATTTTGGAACGCATGCTTTAAAACATGGTACACTTCTACTCATGTTTTAAAGGAAAAAAGGAAGGAGTGGGGAGAGGAACCATTTCTGCTATGAAACAACCATTTTAGGAAAACTATTTAAGCCATAACACATTAATTGTTCAGCTTATATAGGAAACACTACATTTTTGCTTAACTAATTTAAATATTACAACGTATGAGAAGTTTAAAAGGAAAAAAAAAAAAAAATTATGCATTTCAAATATAATGAGCCTCATTAAAATCTTATAACAGGAAAATTAGTGAATTATTCTCATACTTAGAATACCTCACACATATTTCAACTATGTGATCTATATAAGACTCTTTCCTATTGTAGCACATTCTAGAGTTGTAGCATACCACATTATTGTTCCCATTCTCATAGAGATCCATGTTTTAGTTATCATAGGACACATCCCAAAAAAGATAACGACATTGTTGATAACTAATAAAAGCAGTTTCGCATTCTTAATGCCCGTCTTTGATGAGTTAGTGTGGAAAGTATTTTCTTGATACATCTATTAGGAGTGGCATTTGGGTGGGTCTAACACGAGCAACCCGAGTCCCGCCCGAGAATTTTACGGAAGTGGGCAAGGTACTCGAGACCATGGGACTGGGACCGGGTTTACATTTTAGATCCCAAATTTATTTGGAAGGGATGTGGACAAATGTTTTACTAACCCGAGCAACCCGAAGAACTCAAAATACAAGAAAAGTTTATGATTTTTATATTTTTAAGGCTATACGTTATTTATGTAAAATAAAATTATTTATATAATAGGGCATTAACCCAACTTTAACACACTTGCTTTAAAAATATTAAAGTAAAAAATTATAATAGTTGAATTTTTTTGTTAAAGAAACAAAATAATAAATAATATAAGATATTGAGTCCTTTCCACATTCTAGTAGGAAGGAATATTATTAAGTCTCAAAAGTTTAAATCACTCAAAGTTCATGTCACATGATAAGAGTGATTTTATTTCATATCAAGTGTATATACTTTTAACAAAAAAAAAAAAAAAAAATTATTGTTTATTTATTAGTAGGTTTATTAAAATTTGGGACGACCCGAAGAACCCGAAAACCCATGAAACCTGTATGGTATGGCGTGGGTTGAGATGCAATGGGTTTCTCAAGACTTGGGCTTGGCATGGGCTAACCCCTCGGCCGGCCAAGTTCCACCCCTAACATCTATGTGTACGAAAATGTGACTACTTCCTGAATGTTGTTTGATCACGTTCAAGCTAAGCTTAGCACATTTCACAGGCCACAAGATATTATTGGACTATGGAGGAAGAAAACGTTTTCAAAAAGTATAACCATAAAAAATTAAATTAATTGTATTCTAATCAAATACGATTTTTGCACCCAAAAAAAACATTGTAATATTCTTCATTTTGAATTTGAAGTGTAAACCACGGTTAAAAATGCATGAAAACTTCAAAAGGAAAGAAACTAATTTAGCCAATAGTCAACTTAACTAGTAAGGCATCTTGGCAATAATACCAAATGCTTGGTTCGAGTCTCCAAAGGAGCTCGAAAACCATCTTCACCTCCTACCCCTGCTCACCCTCCAAAAACTATGTTAAGCTGACAGGATATAAATAGATACGTAAGAGGTTATGCAACATCTTTTGACCAATAAAGATATTCCACCTATGTATACACTTAGCATTGAGGACTATATTGACACTTAATCTAATGCATATAATGCGTTGATTCACATGTTAACCAGCCGCCCAAGCATCACCTAAGTCAAATCAACCACAAACTGTAGATTTAAAGAAAACAATAATACCATTAAATTAAATTTCTGGCATACTTATTGGTATTTCTCCAAGGGACATATAGATTGATTCATCATCACCAAGAATTCCCTGAAATAATCAGAACAAAAGTTAGTTATTCATCAGTTTTAAGAAAGGCAAACAAGAAATGCATAGAAAACTTAGTCATATAAGAAGATCAGTAAGTTAAAAAAACATAAAAGCGTCAAATGCACAAAGATAGATACTAAGATCACTGAATAGGAATATGCAGTTAATAAATCTATAGAACACACATTAATCAAACCAAATGACCACTAAGCCACCAAGTGAGCACATTGAAAGGATTCCTGTTAAACAAATAACCAAATTTCAGCAGTATATGGTGGTACCTCTCCATTATGCAGGGCCATCTCATTATGCAGAGAATTAATGTCGGGTGGTACAGAGGGACAATTTGAGATATCAGTTCCAAGCAACTCCGAGATCATAAGCCCATAACCATCCTGAGCATCAGCAATATCACTGGTATTCTGTGTATGGTTAGGAAAGCTCTCCAGATCTGTAAATACGGGTTCTGCCCTGCATAATTGAACAATTCTCATTTTAGGAGAGAACTTCCAGGTAGGAATGAAAAAATATAATTTACAGAAATGATCAGATGCAGTCAGCACCTAAGGAAGAGCTTAAGGACAAAAACCTACGTAGCACAGACGTAGACGTTATACAACACGACGACGCAGATACAATATGGCACGTCGACACTCGAGACGTAAAATCCTAGAAAAAGTATGATATGGACACAGTATCGACATGGCAATATATAAATATAATATTTTTATTTATATACATCTATTGAATATAGACAATTATCGAATTTTTATTATCCTCTAATTTCTATAATGAGAACTAATAAAGATTTTTATTTTTTACATATCATTACTAATGTACCCATTATATATATATATATATATTCAGATTTATCCTCTTGTCCTAAATTACCAAGTGTCCATTCCATGCTTCTCTAGTGATGGTCATGCGTTTAATGTCAATTTCTTTAACAGAAATAAAGGTCGGACACTTTTGGGTGTGTTCATCGTGGTTCCTTCTAAAATGTATTTGTGCTACATAAGGCTTGTGTCAAAAGTGTCTGAAATGTGTTAGCTGAGTGGAGAAAATGAAATTCTTTTTGAATTACCGTGGGTGATTGTCTAGGAGAGTTCACAAAGTGTCGGTGTGTTAAAAGTGTCCACGACACCTTCATAGAAGTTTCCATACTTCTTAGAGAAGGAAAAAACTAATTAAACTTGAAATAATAGTCTCAACAAGCGACTATTGCTTGTAAGCAAATGATTTTTAAATGAACAAATTAATATGGAAAGCATATTAATGAAGTGCACTTCCTCTCCAAAGTATTAATGGGGTGTGTCAGCCAAGTGTCAAAAATAAATTATATTTTTGAATTAAGGAGATGTCCGTGAGTTGCTGGATACATGCTTAAGAGTAACCGTACAGTGTTGATGTCTAACAAATATCCGTCACAAACATGACACCTTCATAGAACTGTTTACACTTCCAAGAAAGAACAGAACTAACTAAACTAGAAATGATAGTCTCAACAGACTACCATTGTTTGTAAGCATATGAATGTTAAACAGATAAATAACATGGAAAACATATTAATGAGATAACCTACTTTCTCTCTGAATTATTTGAGAGAGAGAGTAAGCATATGAATGTTAAACAGATAAATAACATGGAAAGCATATTAATGAGATAACCTACTTTCTCTCTGAATTATTTGAGGCCTTGTGTTCATGTACTGAGTCATTTTCCAAATCAATCACCTCAACCTCTTTTCCAGCAGCTCCACGTCTACCGTATTTATCAGATGAATTGCTGTTACTTATGGACAAATCAATATCAACTGGTGCTGCTTCTTTTTTGATTTCTGGAATAGATGGAAAAATAAGAAGTGGATCAGCATCATGATTCTCATTCATATCAGAAGTTTCCATAAGATTAAGGTCACAGATCTTGAATGAACCCGGAAAAAGCTGCTTCTCTTCTGCAAACTCAATGCACGGTTCAGCGCCACATGCGGGAAACAGAGAAATATCCATTGACCTCTCTTGATCGGCAGCCAATATCACTTTCTCATGGGGTGAAGTCCTTCCCTGTTCTGAAGTCGCCTGCTTTTCCCTCAAGTTAGAGAGGTGTGAGTTCTCATCAGTCTGAGTAACTTTTGAGGGGACCCATTCTCTAGGTTTCTTGGTTCCCTCCCTGCCATCGCTGTGTTGTCCTGCTCGTTTCTCACCTCTCTCCATAACCACAGAGCTGGACCGTCCAAACCCAGGCAGCCCTTCACTTGTTTCTTGTTCAACCATGAAAGGTCTCTCTGGGAAAGATCTGGACCTTGTGCATCTTCCTTGCTCAATAGTGTAAGCAGAACCCAGTTCTCCTGCATCCTCCATAGATGTGAAAGACACCGCTTTTAACATGTCCGAGTCGAGGCAGTTTGGACTTATAATTTTTTTTGATTGCACATCACCTGACGAGCCATCAATAGAAACATCTTCAATGGGGATTCCAGATCCTCCAGGAAGTTTAATGTCAGAATCCTTTTCAGTACTAGGAACTGAATCAACTTTTAAACCTTTAAGTGCCAATGAAGATCTGGTTTTTGTGGGCACTTTGGCAAATCTGCAGAGGCTTAGTAAATTATTGCCATTTTTGCTCCCTTGATCACCCTCGGCTGTACAATGCTGGACAGGTAGGTTCTCCGTGGCACCGTGTTGCTTGCTTTCATCATTACAAGTGTCATCTTTCACCTCACCGGTCCCCGCATCCATGATTTCCAAATCATCAGGCCTCTTGGCAAGTTCTATATCGTTCTCAGGTGGGATATCTTTCCCAGTACTAGAAGAACTTGCCTTTGAAGCCACATCATCTGGTACACAATATTTCTCTGATGCGGACTCTAAATCACCAGCACCATCACTTTGAGGTGCTAACTCACTTGAACGGGATTTCTGCACTACAGTACCAGCGTCTTTACCATATTGTCGCTCTTCTTGGTATACAGAAAAAGAGTCATCATCGCCCTCCATATCTGGAGAAGCCCTAGCTTTATCCGACCATGACCCACTCCTTCCAATTTCTTGACTCCAGTCCGAACCATAATTTTTAAAGGATCCCATTCTTCTCTTTCCTCTCATATAATTCCTCGACCCTGGCGAATTATAGTCATCAGGAAACCTTCTCCTACCAGACCCTGCATTGGGAACAACATTTCCCAAACGAGCAAGAACCGAGGTTCGGCCCTCTGGAGGAAGTTGGTTCTCCCCTTCTTGTGGCCTAAAACCTTGAAAATCTCCTGCCTGGTTCTTCAAACTACCATTCTGCCATTTCCCGGGGAGTACGTTTGGTGGCAGTAGCCCCTTGGATACCAAATACTCAGTCGCTAATCGACCGGCTTCCACAAAAATATCTCCTCTCTGTGGTGGATTCTGCGGCTGCTGAAATGGTTTTGGCTGGCCACGCCCAAAACCTCGATTATAGCTGCGATACTCTGAATTATACATCCCATGACCTCTAACTGAACCTTCGGATGAAATCCTAGAGGCGGCAGTTACACCACCCATTCCAAAGGAATTAGACCTATATCCATTTCCAGGACTACGATGCCTCGCATGCATGTTTCAATAGAATTTAAACAATGTACTGAAGAAGATGAAAACCCAAGAGATGGAACTACGCAGTACCAAACAACCACCTTAATTTCAAACTCCTACCACTCAAGATCAGCTCCCCACAATAAGCAACTTGCTCTTTCACAAAATAACCCAAAATTTTCAATCAAAGTTCGCCACAGAAATTACAATCCACAGGACCTGTGCATTATATTATTATAATTATTATTAAGCTGAAATCAGCAGTGAAATCTTCAACATAAACCCTAAATCGACGGTTCTTTAGGTCAAATCAAGTCCAAACACAAGACAAGTCTCAAAAAGACTGAAAAAATCAAGGTTTTGTGATACAGATTTGGGGATCTTGTAATCAAAATCAGAACTACGAACAGTTACCTTCAACTGATGCTTCTCGATTTCCAAGCTGATGTTTTAGGGTTCCAGATCCAGAAGAACTGCACCTCCCTTTAATCAACACCACAAAACACCCTCACCTCCATTTCACAACATACATACATAGATATATAAATGGATATATAATCAAAGGTTTTGATCAATCTTTTGCAATCATCGTCTGGTCCAAAAGTGGATTGATTAGGTCCGATGATTTCCAATCCAAGATACGATCAGCATCTATGCGTACATGATGCGTATATGTGTGTGAGAGATCAGGAGATAAAGATTTTGCTTTTCTGGTGAAGAAATTCGTAAAATTGTTTTAGGGTTTTGATTTTGCTTTTTTCCTTTTTCTCTTTTGCAGCAGAAAGATGCGATGAGTCTCCACCTTTAGCCCTCAGATGATACGAGTCTCTGTCTCTCTCTCCTCTCTCTCTTCTCTATCTATGGTCCCCATTTCAGAAAGTAGCAGTAGATGGGAGACATACAACGACAAACTCTAAAAAAATTAATAAAAATAAAAAATCATGAGTTTACACGTCAATGCGTTAGCTATGCCATGTTTACTTGCGGTAGGGCACTCACGCCCTCCTGCTGCTTTGGGAGTAATCTATAATTATTAAACAAAAATGTTTTAGAATCCGAATAATTAATTATCACCGTCTCTCTTCTATTGTATTTAGGTTAAGTGTAAAAAATTCTCCTATACTATTGATATAGTGCCTATCAATTTCTGTGTAATAAAAAATCCCACTATACTATCAATTTGGTGCAAATAGGTCCTTAATAGTGTAAAATGACGATAATACCCTCACTTCAGTTGAATAAATTAATAATTATAAATACAGGCCATGTAAAATGACCCTTTTGTCCAAATTTGTATAAAATGGAATTTGTTTGGCAGAAGGATAATATAAACCTCAAATTATATAAAATTGGGATAACCTAAACTTGAATATAATTAGATCTAAAACCAAACATGCCATTTCATATTTTAAAATATAAATACATTTGTTATATGTGTGTGTGTGCGCGCGCGCGCGCCATATATCATTAGGGCAAATCTATAGGTTTTAGGGCAAATCATTTCAGCCTCCGCCTCCATGGCTATTCTCGTTCTCAACTCTAAACTTGCCCCTCTCTCTATCTCTCTGCAACTGCAAACTACAAGAATGAGAAGTTCAAAACCCATATATTTTAGTTTATCTATCTGCTGCAAGAATCAAAAGTTCAAAACCCATATCGGCATCCACAATCGCCCTTTGTAAACAACACCATTAGCAGACCCAAGATCCAATTGAAAAAAAAAAAAGAAACCGTGTAGTTGCAAGTTCTGTTTGGGAGAGCATAATGAAAATTGATGAAGTCGAAGGAGGTATCTAAGTCTTCAACCCAAAATCTAAATCTTATGAGGAGGTTGTATCGGTAGCAACAAGATCGGACCTGATGGCGATAAACGTATCAGCAACAAGATCGACGGCGAAAGATACCGGTCATCTCTAAAACCTCTCCACGCCTATGCAAGAATGAAATCATGGCCAAGCTTGATATATATATATATATATATATACACACAGATCACCGTCGCCGTCATTTAGATACTCCATCGATGGCGAAACCACCATTAAAGCCGGCAAAAACAAACAGAAAGCTCCAAACTATAACAAACAGTTCAAGCAAATGAGACCCACTTCGGTGATCATCCAGCGAGCTACACTTCCATGCATGTGTATTTAGTGAGCTTCAAAGCAGCAACTGAACGCCGGTGAACTCCATAACCGACGACGAGCTCCACGACTCACATGCTCTGATGAAGATAACAAATCATTGAGCTTCGATGTACTTCTGGTCCCATGACCTGCATGCAAAAAGCGTGACACACAGCGTGTTTCTTGAAATTCAAGGAAAGAATATGAGAATCAAAACTCAATTCAATTATTATTTACGATGGTGCTACATTCAATTTATAGAGTAATATCTACCTAAAATAGGTAACTAAATATACAATAATCAGGAAACTAATTATCTACTAATTAGCCCTAAATTAAGGAGAAAATAATGCAATCCTACAGCTGTACAATCTATATAATCTTAGATTACAAAAAATAAAATCTCAACACTCCCCCTCAAGTTGGTGCATAGATGTTACACATGCCCAACTTGTCTAAAAATTTTGAAAACACTTGATTTGAGACTGCTTTGGTGAGAATGTCGGCTAGTTGATCCTCCGATCGAATCTTAGACAACTCCACAATTTTTCCATCCAACTTTTCCTTAATGAAGAATCTGTCTATTTCGACATGTTTTGTACGATCATGTTGAACTGGATTATGAGCGATATCACATGCTGCTTTGTTGTCACAATATAGTCTAATCGGTTGCCTAGGTAGATAACCCAAATCCCGCAAGAGAAGTCTTAACCACAAAGTTTCACAAAGTCTAAGGGCCATACCTCTGAATTCAGCTTCGGCATTCGAGCGAGTAACAACATTTTGTTGCTTGCTTCTCCATATAACAAGATTACCTCCTACAAAAGTGAAGTATCCAGAAGTAGATCGCCTATCATCTATAGCTCCAGCCCAGTCAGCATCAGTATATGCATCTATGTTTTGATAACCAGCATTTTTAGTGAACAAAATTCCTTTTCCAGGAGCAGATTTCAGATACCTCAAAATGCGCATAACTACATTCATATGTTGCTCTCCCGAATCATGCATAAACTAGCTAACAATGCTCAATGCATAAGCCAGATCCGGTCTCGTGTGTACTAAATACATCAATCTCCCTACAAGTCTTTGGTATCTTTCTTTATTAGCAGGTACTTGGTTGGACTCAACACATAACTTCAGTCCTTCTTCCACTGGTGTCTCAGCTGGTGCCAGTCTCTTGTAATAGATCTAAAGCATATTTTCTTTGAGATAGAAAGATTCCTTTATTAGATCGAGATACTTCGATTCCAAGAAAATATCTTAAAGGACCTAGATCTTTCATTTCGAATTCTCTGAACAAATACTTCTTGAGAGCCTTCATTTCTTCTGGATCATTCCCTGTAACTACCATGTCATCTACATATACAATGAGTGCAGTGATCTTACCCTGTTGTTTCTTCAGGAATAACGTATGGTCTGAATTGCTCTGACGGTAGCCAAAGGTTATTATTGACTTTGTGAATCTTCCAAACCATGCTCTCGGAGATTGTTTCAACCCATATAATGATTTCTTTAACCTGCAGACTTTCTGACTATACTTTTCGGGTATCATGCATCCTGGTGGGAGATCCATGTAAACTTCTTCAGATAATTCACCATGCAGAAAGGCATTCTTCACATCGAATTGTTGCAATGGCTAATCCAAGTTCGCAGCTAAAGACAACAAGACATGAACTATGTTGATTTTGGCTAAAGGTGCGAATGTCTCTGTGTAATCGATTCCATAGGTTTGGGTGTAACCTTTTGCCACCAATCTTGCTTTAAAGCGTTCAACTGTGCCATCGGCTTTATACTTCACAGTGTAAATCCATCGATATCCTACTGGTTTCTTTCCTAGTGGAGGATCAATGAGTTCCCAAGTTTTATTTTTCTGTAAGGATATCATCTCCTTGTTCATAACTGCTTTCCACCTAGGGTCAGTTAAGGCTTCCTGCACGCTGTTAGGAATAGATACAGTAGATAATTGATTTACAAATGACAAATTTAATTCTAACAAACGATGGTTTGACACATAATGACTCATGGGATACTTAACTTTACTAGAAAGTTCGGGTTCATATGTGGGTTTAGGAATACCTCTAATGTGACGTTGTGGTAATTGTGTTTTGGAGTGGCTCAGGCACTAAATCAGGAACAACCTCAGCAGGTGATTGGTTTGATATATCAGTTGCGAGGGACTCAAACTCGGACGACGGTGAGGTTGGCATACTTTCTATTTCTTCTATTTCTGGGCGTTCATCACCACTTTGATCCAAACTTAGACCACTTGAATCCAATTCGCCCGATTCCTGATTAGCTGGTCCAACCTGTGAGTCATCACCACTAGAATCGCCATCCTCAAAAGTGTGATAATCATAATCTAGAGTTTGATTTCTTTCTGGTACTCCCCCTGAAGTTCAGACGCAGAGGAAAAATACATCGAATCTTCATGAAAGACAACATCCATGGTGATAAACATTCATCGGGTTGGAGGGTGATAACAGCGATATCCCTTTTGATGAGTAGCATATCCGAGAAAAACACAGCATAACGCTTGAGGAGTTAGCTTGTTGCATTAATGTTTATGGAGGTGTACAAATGCTACACGACCAAAGACATGAGGAGGTAGATTTGGAACGGTTGGGGCAACAACTGCGTCAGAGAGAGCATGCAATAGTGTCTGGAAGTCAATAGAGCTGGAAGGTACTTGATTGATTAGATATGCTGCAGAGGTAAGTGTTTCTCCCTAATACGATAATGGCATATGAGCTTCTATCAATGAAGCACGAACAACCTCTAACAAGTGGCGATTTTTTCGCTCTGCAACCCCGTTCTGCTGGGGTGTATTGGAACAAGTGGTTTGATGAATAGTTCCATGTACTTCCAAATATTGTTGAAGGTCAAAACTTTGATATTCTCCACCATTGTCACTACGGAGAACCTAAACATGTGCATTGTAGTGAGTTTTAACCATTTAATGAAAATTTTGAAACAATAAATTCACTTCACTTTTGGATTTCATCAAGCACAACCAGGTCATCCTGGTACAGTCATCAATAAAAGTAACAAACCAACGTGATCCACCTAAAGTAAGGACTTTGGACGGACCCCAAACATCAGAATGTATAACCATAAAAGGAAGTGGACTTTTATTCAAACATAATGGAAACGAAGCACGATGGCTCTTTGCTAGTTCACAAATATCACAGCGGAAACTAGAACCATCAAATTTTTTAAATAAACTAGGAAATAATCTTTTCAGATAACCAAATGAAGCATGCCCCAAACGTCGATGCCACAACCATATTTCAGATTTCTTTTTCTCCCCCTCAGAACCATCCACTGTCAACGCCTGTCGTAGCTTGTCGAAACTTTTTGACACCAAGTCCAAGTAATACAGCTTCCCTCGCCTAATACCATAACCAATTGTCTGCTTTGTTTGGATGTCCTTAAACACACAAAAATTAGGCCAAAAAATTACAACACAAGATAAAGATGTGGTTATTTGGGAAACTGACAAAAGATTATAAGCTAAAGATGGAACAATTAAAACATAATCTAAATGCATATTATCAGTGAGTGTCAAAGAGCCTTCCCCAATAACTGGGGTCGAAGTACCATTGGCAGTAGAAACAAATTTTTGAGAGGAAGAATTAAGAGGGGAGACTTGTCTAGAATCAAATGTCATATGATCTGTAGCACCAGAATCAATTATCCAGGCACTATTAACAACAGGTGTAGAAATATTTAAAACCTTACCACCATTATCTCC